TTTTTTTTTTTTTTTTTTTTTTTTTTTTTTTTTTTTTTTTTTCCTCACTTTTTTATTTCCCTTTGCATGTGACTGTACGTAGAGGATTAATTATTTGGTTTTTTGCACTTTTCTTTTATTTTGTATTATTATTTGTTAAATTAATTCTCGATTTATTCAAATTCTAAAATTGATTGCACTTTCATGTTTCGGATGAGAAATTGTGCTTTCGATCTTATTCTTAGTTCTGGGTCTGGTTATTTCTGCGAGTGTAACGACCCAAATCCACCACTAGCAAATATTGTCTTCTTTGGACTTCCCCTCAAGGCTTTAAAAAGAAAAGATTTTCACACTCTTATAAAACGGTGAATTGTTCTCCTCCCCAAGACATCATATCTCGGCTCTTGATTTTATAGAGTGGTTTTCTTTATTGTTAAAGAGACTCGTGATTGGTTGAATTGAAAATAATAATAATAATAATTTTATAAACTCTATTTTCTCCTAACGAATAGTTATATATATATATATATATATATATATATATATAAAACAAAAAAACAAAAAAACAATAGCGAGTTTGTTTGACTAAAATTTTGACCATAATTTTTTTAATTTCACCAATAGTTTACAATCTAGAGTTCTATATGGACATATGGACATTTAAATGTATTATATTTTATTTTAAATTTAAATACGTGTAGTTGTTACACTTTAGACAGCTTAATGATTTAATTAATGAAAAAAATTCGAAAAATATTAATTTTTTTAATATAAAATTTTGTCACAAATAATACGCTCTCTTTCAAACTAATATTAATATCCAACAAATGGATATTGACACTTGGATTGTTTATTAAATTTTTATTTAAAAAAATTAGAAAAATTAGGCATCTTTGAAGATTAGAAATTGAAAGGTGGATTATAAAGTGGATTATAAAATTAATTAGTAGTTAAGAAATTTGGTGTATGATTAAACTAAAATATTTAGAGTAGGTGGTGACGTCAGTTGGGAGTACTTGAATACGTGGATGCACAGCCCAATATTGGGCTTGAGACAGGCCCATATCAAGTTGGGCTGGGCTTACTTTTCTTGTACAGCCCAAGTTCTTTCTTAGTCGTCTTTTATTTTGTAGTGATTTTTTTAGAAAAAAATATGAAAATCTCTGCAATATTGAATAGAACGTGGATATGCGAATTTAACGGGAGAACATGCATTCCAAGAATCGGAGGCTTTTTCGATCGAAATTATTGTTTGATTCGTTTTTGCTTCACCTGGATTTATCTTCTTCTGATTTGTTGATCTGAATTGGCCAAAGTTTTGTGAAGAGAGGAAGAAATGGAGTACGAAGTGGAAGGGGAAGCGAAATTGTGTCCCAATCAAGGAAGGTAATGGCGTAAGAACCAGGTTCCCCACTAAGCACAAACTAATATCGCCTCTTCTTTCCTTTCCTTTCATTTTCAATTCTTTTTCCTTCCGCACAAATTTCAACATCTTTATAATTTATTCTTTACGTGCTTTTTCCACAGTTCAGGGATTTCCCTGCCGAGGAATAGGTATGCCCACATTCATAGTCAACAATTCAAATTCCTGTTCCTTTTTCCGGGAGGATATTATTTAGTATTTTGCTGCACTTTTGTAGTGATTGAAGCATTATAAAGCATAAAGATGCTAGTGGACGGAGCTTCTTCCAATGCTGTTTCTACACATTCATTAGCCTAAGCTCTGGTGCGGTTAATCAACTCTGGAATATACTTTTTCTTCTTTTTGTTTCTCTTTTTTCTTTTATTTGGTTGAAATTATTTACAATAATAGTAACAATTGTTTAGGAAAAGAGGGGGTCGAGATCTATGCTATTGATTGAACTATCGACCTTTAAATATTTTGTTTTGGCGTTGGTCATTATTGGTTAGTGGGCTATGGTGTTCTTCATGAAATTTATAGTGGTTGGTGTCAGATCATAAATAGAACATCCATTTATAGCAACGATGGATTTTGCAACTATGACAACCTTGTTCCTAACGCATTATGAATCAGAACAATTACTACAAAATCAAACAAATTCCGCAAGTGTCAAAAAATATAAAGGGAAATGAAAGAGTGAAGTCATGTCCACCACCCTTTATGCGACAAGCATTTTGAATCATCGTGCCCAGATTCATACGGATTTTACTATATTTGTGCCTAGAAGTTTATTTTTTAAGGTAGTGGATAGTAAATTTGGGTTCTGCAAGAGTTCTGTTTTTAGATCTTAAAGGCTAAACCATCTTGTTCGTTCATATTATCGGGACATCCCGAAGATCCATTCATTGGGCCTCTCGTGTCCATGCCGAGTATCAGTTATAGGAAATTAAGGATCATGGAGCAGTAAAAGTCGTGATAAGTAAGCACCAATAATTTGCCCAACCCATTTGCTAATGGTCCATTTACTACAAGAAATGCACCTTATATTGCTTTCTTTCTAGCTCAGTTTTTTTCTTAGTTGACCAATGAGGCGTTTAGTAGTTGGCAGCCTGATTCAACAACATGACTAATAGGAAGTTGGCCACTTGGATTACTGGACCAAAATCAAATCCCATCACTCTTTATTGGAAAAAGCTTATTCAGTAATGATGCTTACTAGTTTTCAATTGCTGAAGTGAGAGGAAGGTTGAATATCTTCCCTAAATGTTCTAAACTTCTATTATCTTTTCCTTCTTTATTTAGTTTTTGAGTGGAAACTTGTTGAAAAGGAATTTCTGCAGTGTTTCTGGTCCCCAAAAGAAACAACTAATCTCTCTTTTACTTGTAGGACTTTATTTTCCTCATTTGATTGTCCAGCTCTAAGAGTTTCTTGTAGAAAATCTCATTTGTTCAAAGACAAAAAGAACTGTTATTTGAGATAGGAAGGATTGAGTTCAAGAATTTCTGATCTGCTTTTGTTTAAGATCTAGTTGACAGATCTTCTGCCATTTACCTTTCACTAACATATCAAAGAATGTAAACCTATTTTCTTTTAATATATATTTGTTTGTGTGTTTTTGTGGTTAAATTGCATATTCAGTCCCTATGGTTGGAGAAGGTTAGAATTTCACCCCTATGATTTTTGGAACTCTCATAATGTGAGATCCCACCTCGGTTGGAGAGGAGAAAAAAGTATTTTCTTATAAGAGTGTGAAAACTTTTCTCTATTAGATGCGTTTTAAAACCATAAGCTGATGGCAATACATAACAAGCCAAAGTAGATAATATATGCTAGCAGTGGGCTTGGATTGTTACAAATGGTATCAGAGCTAGACACTGAACGGTGTGTCAACGAGGATGCTGGGCCCCCAAGGGGGGTGGATTGTGAGATCCCTCATCGGTTGGAGAGGAGAACGAAACATTTCTTGTAAGGGTGTGGAGACCTCTCCCCAATAGGCGCGTTTTAAAACCATGAGATTGATGGCAATACGTAATGGGCCAAAACAGTCTAAGGACCAGATTCTAACTACCTCCAAACCATAAGGACTAATTTGCTACTTATTCTGTATTTATATATTTATTATCACAGCCCCACCTGATCTCCTTTACCATGGCATTATTGAATATTGTCATGTATGACAGCTACTGCTGGCAGATATGCAGAGTCCCCCCCTTCCCCCACCACTTTTGAGCCTCAAACTTCTTTTGAGCACTTCATTAAATCAGTCCTTTGTCCTCCAATATGGTTATCACATGGGGGAAATTCATTCATAGCTTTCTATTTCTTGTAGGCTAGATTTACTTGTCAGATTCTTACGAGGTATAGCCGAAGGGAGTTAAACAAGTAAAACCTTCGGGTTAAATCTACCAGATCAACCTTTCACTTCCATGTCTTGTGAATTGACAGTGAGAAATGACCAAACTTTGTAATGAATTAATATGTTGTCAGCAACAAGAATCCAGAGCAGATCGTGTAGGTGTTGGTGTTGGTGTTGGTGTTTGTGTTGCGAGACTCCATAAAGCTATGTCGATTTGTCTCTTTCTATTTATCTTATTTATATGCCTAAAAGTTACGTTATTGAAGATCTCGTTTGTATCCTTTTTCCCCCTCCTCTTTAGTAAATACATTCTTGGGTCTGCTTAAACTTAGTTGAGCAAGTTACTGTTTGAATATTGTAGCTAATTGATTGGGTTGGGAACAATTTGAATTGCTTAGGCGGTTGTACTTAAAAATTGGATCGAAACAACCTTAATTATTGCAAGGTAAAAGCAAAGCAGAAAAGGGAAGGGGAAAAAGAAAAGGAAAACAACGTGTAGCTAAAAGCCAAATGCTTTTTTGACAGAAAATAATGCAAAGTCTTTGTGGGTTCTCTATTCCTAGAATCTCTCTCTTTTTCCTATCTCTATCGCAGGCCGATTAGCTCCACACACACACACACACAGCCTTCTTTCCCAATAGCTTTAGTGGGAGCAAAGAACCTACGAATTCATATTTAGAACAAATTAAGACTGCTTCTATAGTGGAAAAATACTTTATACTCTTTGTTATTCCAAAGATAATAAGCTTAGGATTCAACCCCTCCCCCACCAAAATCAGAGAGAGAATTGTTTTGGCTGGGCCTACATCTTTAACTACTGAAACCTCAGTAGGAAAGGATGCATGTGGACTGCTTGAGATTTGTATTTGAAGTGTGAACTCTATAATCAATTGTTTTCTTTGCGCAGATATCATGACTTAATGGGATAAGGATCTGTTCTTCTTCTTTTTTTTTTTTTGCTTATTTTTGGTTAATGAGAGCTTGATTTATGTGTGTCCTGTCTTGTTTTAGGAATTTATGTATAGTGGTTTATTTTGAAATATTCTTTTGACGTTTAAAAACTCATCCAAATTGATATCCCGGACCCATTCTTGATACTCACTATCTGGTTATAATTCATATTTTTAGTGTTTGATTGTTTGAAATAATGTTTGTGATTATGTAGAGGGTGCTATAGCGAAAGTCTTCCTTCTCACTCGACTTCAACGAGTTGTTTCTAATTCATTCAAATCTGAAGCTTTTTCCACATCAAACTTAGGAAAGTACACTGTCGTGAGAGAAAGAGCTTCTGATTACCGTACAATCAATATCTTGTTATCTCTATGTATACAATAGCTACGAGCTACTAGAGAAAACTACGAGTAGCCACTCCACTTGAATTCTATCCATACAAGAAGACCACACATTCGAATGAAAAACTTACCTCTTTTGTATGCTCCACTTTACCTTCCTCGATTGTAAATATTTGCTTTGGGGAAAAGTTAGAGAGAAAGAGGCAAGTGGGGGGGACAGGTTGTGATAGGTTTAACAAGAGAACAGCTCATAGAGAATACTGTTTTACCAATATCATCACATTTACTTTGGCCCTTTTGAGTGGCTGAGTCAACTCTACATAATTATATATTCAAAGATGAAGGGTGAGAGGAACAGAGAGAGAGGTTATATCTAAGATTAAAAGGTTTGGAGAATCAAAGCTGAGCCTCCTTCCCTCCCCTCGGCCCTTCCTCTCGTGAGGACCCGAGAGTAATCAAGGGCGAAACGAAGAAAGAAGGAAATAGTTTATCTCGGATTAAAAAGAAAATTTAGAAGTTGGATCGATATTTGACAATGTCCTTGTTATGCATTCCACTTTACATGACTACGACACTATAAAGAAAGGAAAAAAAAGAGGGAGGGTCCATATTCTAAAAAGGATGTTTGAAATGAATTCAACATCTTTTCGTGTGAAAGGAATGTGTATGGTGGTGGTTCGAGTTTGAGTATGACTTCTCTTTCTTTCAACTTTTTAAATATAATTTTATTGAAGTCGGACCCATTAAACACGATGATCAAATCCAATATAGCCCAACACAATCAAATTAGAAAAGAAAAAGGGGAGTGAAAGGGAATATGGAGGGTGTTAGTGTGGGTTGGGGAGTGGGCATGAACACCATGCCTGAAATGCCGAGTTGCCTGGAAGTGGTTGGTGAGTCAACTCATCCCACAAGCACCTAAAATAGCATACATCAAAAGAGAAACTTATATGACAGCACAAGCAGACCCACAGCGGAGTGTGAGTCACCAATGTTGTGTCCTGGGCCCCACCCACCCCTGTTTGGTGGATACAATTACAGTAAGATTTTTTTTTTTTTTTTTTTTTTTTTTTTTTTGACAAAATAATTTTAAAGATTTATTATTATTTTAAAATTGAGGAAGGAAAAAAAAGATGGAAAAATAAGAGAAAAAGACGGGGAAAGATGCCATTGCCATGCTCGATACCTGTTCCTGTTGTAAAATGCCTTCTGGAAGACAATGCCCCACACTTATTGCTGGCCCCCACATTTCACCACCATTGTCATTCCTCTTGACACGTCATCCCCTCCTTCTTTTTCCTTATATATATATATATATATATATATATATTTCATTTTAATATTTCTATCTCTCTTATTCTATAATTTCATATTATTTTCTTTTCCATGATTTTCTGAATTAAAAAAGAAAACACGAAGAATTGGTAGATTTTGTTAAAAAAGAATATATATTTTTTTTTATTTGAATCTAAATTTGAGGTGGTTTTTGTTCGGTTTTGTATGCTCGGCGGTGATGCCTACGGCGGTAAGTTCAGCTCGGCAATGCTTAGCACCAGATGCTGCACACGCGCTGGACGAGGCGGTGGCGGTGGCGCGCCGCCGTGGGCATGCTCAGACGACGTCGCTTCACGCCATATCCGCACTTCTCTCTCTTCCCTCCTCCGCGCTTCGTGACGCCTGTGCACGCGCCCGTAAAACTTCCGCTTATTTCCCTCGTCTTCAATTCAAAGCCCTCGAGCTCTGTCTCAGCGTCTCTCTCGACCGTGTCCCCTCCACTCAACTTTCCGATGACCCTCCCGTCTCCAACTCCCTCATGGCTGCTATTAAGCGCTCTCAGGCTAACCAGCGCCGGCAGCCGGAGAATTTACATTTGTATCACCAACTCTCTCAACAGTCCTCCATTGCTTGCGTCAAAGTCGAACTCCAGCATTTTCTTCTTTCCATTCTCGACGATCCTGTCGTCAGTAGGGTTTTCGGCGAAGCTGGATTTCGGAGCTCCGAAATCAAGCTTGCTATTATTCGTCCTTTCCCTCAGCTTCTTCGCTACTCCTCTCGCGCTAGAGGCCCCCCTTTGTTCCTCTGTAATTTGATGGACTATTCCGATCCCAATCGTCGGGGTTTCTTGTTTCCACTTTCCGGATTCCGCGATCGGGACGACAACGAAAACAATCGCAGAATCGGACAGGTTTTGGGCAGAAACAAAGGAAGGAATCCTCTACTCATCGGAGTATCTGCTTACGTTGCTCTCGAGAGTTTCACGGAGGCCATCGATAAACGGAACAACAATTTCTTGCCGGAGGAATTGGTCGGTGTGCGAACGGTTTCCCTCGAGAACGATTTCTCTAAGTTTTTGTCTGAGAATTCCGAAATGGGGTCTTTGAATGTGAGATTCGTGGAGGTCATTCAGATGGTGGAGCAGTCGCCATGGCCTGGATTGATAGTAAATTTCGGAGACTTGAATGCACTCGTCGACGATAATTCTTCCGATGACCGAGCAAGCCATGTCGTCGGCCACTTGAAAAAGTTGGTCGACGTTCATGGCGATAAAGTCTGGTTGATTGGCGCAGCTGCAAGCTATGAAACTTACATGAGATTGGTTACTAAATTTCCTTCGATTGAGAAGGACTGGGATTTACATCTCTTGCCCATAACTTCTCTCAGACCTGAATCATATCCCAAGTCCAGGTCAGACTCCAAATCTTTCTTGGAATTTGCTTTTAGAATTTTATAAGATTTTCTTGTTCATGAATTTTGAGTATTGGGTTTATTTTATTGTTTCTTACCAAGTAGTCAATCCTGGTAGTTCAAATAAGATATAACACCTGGATGACGGCAGCTGTCTAGCTCATTTTAGATCTCTGTCTTTTTCTCTTTTATGATCTAGCCTGCCTTACACATCGAAATTCATGCCTTTTCACCATGAAATTTGATCGTTTATAAAATTATTCGATTGTTTGAGAAGTTGGATAGAGTAAAAAAGCTCAGCTAACATGTCAATATTTCTATAAATGGAAAGGTTTGCATCTATAATACGAGGGTGTAATGTCTTTTACTTGAGATTATCATACAATTCCATAGAATTTAGATGAATATGAGTTTAAATACTAATTGATACTGATTTTGTTGATATCATTATTTTATTGATCTTTCCATCAAACTTTCTGTAAATATGAGAGCTTGATATCTGCATTAACATGAACTTGTAGAAGATTTCTCAATCTCTTGCTGATTCTGGGTTTCCAAAGTTGTCCGTGGTTAAAAGGTCTCTGCTTCATCAAAAATTTTTAAATGAATTGTATATTGGTTTGTGAACATTTCTGTCATTTTTTTTTGTGAGATCCCATATCGATTGGAGAGAGGAACGAAACATTCTTTATAAGGGTGTTGAAACCTCTCCCTAATAGACGTGTTTTAAAACCTTGAGGGGAAGCTCAGAAGGAAAAACCCGTGGCCTTGGACTATTACATTTTTCTTCCATAAATCTTAAGAAGCCAACCATTTTCTGTTTCGTTTGTAACTTTGGATTCTTAGATCTTATGGTTATCCTCTTTGTCACTACAGTTTGATGGGATCATTTGTTCCACTTGGGGGGTTCTTTTCGACACCTTCTGATGCAAGTATCCCTTTGAGCGGTTCAGGCCAACATCGTTCCCGCTGTCTTCAATGTGACAAAAACTGTGAAGACGAAGTGATTGCTGCTTCAAAGGGCGTTTTTACGCCCCCTCTATCCGAGCAGTACCAATCTAGCTTGCCTTCTTGGATGCAAATGACTGAACTTAGCAACTCGGATGGATTCGATGCGAAGGTGAGTATTTGCTTTCAAATTCAATTCTCAGTATATGGCAGTGTTTTTCATGTTCTAAGATATGTTCAATTTGAATAGAGGCTATACTAATTGAGAATTTCCATAACAACCAATTTCTTTTGTTCTTAAAGTTGTGAGGACTGATAGTGTAGTTTACTTTAGAGAATTCTCTGCTTTTCTTGTGTAAAAGCTAGTTCATACGTCTTCAGTGCAGACCAGAGATGATGGACTGGTATTGAGTGCCAAAATTGCAGGGTTCCAAAAGAAATGGGACAATATATGCCAGCGTCTTCATCACGGTCAACCATTAAAAGAAGCACACGTGTTTCCGATGATTGTGGACTTCCGAGTCGCCGAAGATAAAAAGGAAGGTGCTGCTGTTCATAATGCATGTATTTCATCACACCAGGATTCATCTGCGGATTTGAACTCCAGAAATTTCATGGATTTACCAAAGATTTCTCCCTCAAGATCAAAAACCTTTCCTTTATCTGGCAAGGCGAGTAACGAGAATCTCCTATCCAAACTGCAGGAAGAAACATCTAAAACTGAAGATCTCGAGTTAGGGGGCAGAAAATCTTGTTTCAGCCTATCAATTTCCAGTGTCGATGATGAAAGTCGAACGTCTCCCCCATCAGCAGGGTCTGTCACGACAGATTTAGGGTTGGGGATAGTTTCCTTGCCTACCAGTAATAAGCTGAAGAAACCGTTAAATCCTAATGCCGAAGGCTGCTGTTCAACAAATGTTGATTTACTTAATGGGAAAGTCTGTAATGTCTTCACTTTATCTTCATCCTGTTCCAGCCCTGAACAAATAGGACAGATGAATGCCATGGATGTGAAGATGCTCTTTCGGTTGCTCAAGGAAAGAGTTTTCTGGCAAGATCACGCTGTGAGCGTCGTTAGTCAAACGATATCCCAACACCAAACCAGAAGCGAAAAACGCCATGGATCTCATTTGAGGGGGGACATATGGTTCAACTTTATTGGTCCTGATAAGTTTGGTAAAAAAAAAGTTGCTATTGCTCTTGCTGAGATATTGTATGGAAACAAGGATCAGTTCATATGTGTTGACTTGAGCTCCCAAGATGTGACGATCAATCCCGATACGCTTCGTGGATGCCCGCGTATGAGAAGTAACAACCCAGAATTCAGAGGGAAAACTGTTCTGGATTTCGTTGCGGCTGAGTTGAGGAAGCAACCTTTGTCCGTCATTATGCTCGAAAATGTTGACAAGGCTGAACTTCTTGATCAAAATAGATTGTCACAAGCTATTCGAACTGGTAAACTCTCAGACCTGCAAGGCAGAGAAGTTAGCATTAAGAATGCGATATTCATGATGACATCGACGTCCTCGTGTACTAAACAACAAATGATTTTTCCCGACGAGAAAATGTCCAAGTATTCTGAAGAAAGACTCTTGAAAGCGAAAAGCTGGTCGTTACAGATAAAAGTTGATTCTAGCTTAGATCAAGCAAACCGAACCAAGACTGTCTCCAACCCATTCTTCATGAACAAAAGGAAGCTCAATGTCATAGAAGAATCTTCAGATCAGCTGGTGAAACGGTGTCATAAGACATCAAACAAGTACCTGGATTTGAATCGGCCAGCAGAAG